ATTTTATATCTTTAATAATATGCACCAATTATTTTTTATTCTTGCAATGCATAGTAATCCAGAACCTAGCCCTAAGATAACAACATACAGTCAGGAAGTTACCAACACATTTACAAATCCAAATTCAGATATATATTATATATATGGTTTAACATCTTGATTATTTTAAGAGTTATTTGCCAAATTCTTAGAACCTGATGGAATAAGCACTGTTTAAGTAAACAGAATGATAAAGGATCCATTTTCAGATGGCTGAAGGCAGCTGTTTTGAAAGACATTTTTGTATTAGCTACTTTCTTAAAAAATATTTTTGTACTGGACAAGAGATCTAGAATACAAGCAACACCCTTCACTACACTGCAAATATTTTACAAATACATAACTTTCAACCACAATCAAACAGGGATCTTATCTGTAGTAATTAGTCAGCTCTGGATAACTGAATAGCATTCACTGAAGATGAATGATCTGTTTCCTAAAGAACATACCTGAAATTATTCATCCTTATTAGAAACATGTTTCAATAAAATACCTTCAAATAAGCTGTACGAGAATGAATTTTTTTAAACCAGAAAAGAAAGCACAGAAACCAAATTTCAACCCAAAAAATGGCAAAGTAATTTAAATGTTTCTGTTAAAACACTAAAAAAGATCAATATAACAGCTTAATGATGTAGTCTCAAGCTTGCATACGCAGGAAGTATGCTACCCATAAAATCAGGGGAAATAGATTAGCAATCTAGAGACCAGATGGTTAGTATTTACTTGCTGACATAACACCACCAAATGTTCTTAAATTTCTTTTTCAAATTTGCCTTTCACATTACATTATCAGCATATAAACTGATCCTGCAAACATACACATACACAGTTAAATACATTGATGCATCTGAGTAGTCCCAGTAACTTTAGTACAGGATACTATTCAAGAGTCAGGCTGTCAGTGTAGGATAAGGCTACAGACTTGTAAACTCTTTTTTGCCTGCACTGAGCTGGGCAGATCATGTCTGGAAAAATAATAGAACAATTCTGTATGTGTGTTTTTCTGCTGGTTTTGTACTTTGCAGAAGAGATAGCCATTTATGGAGAAAATGATAAAAGACATGCCATGTCCATAAATACAGTGCCTGGTTTTGTGGATTACTGTTAAATTTGGCAAGGCCTGAGATAAACTGAAATCTTAAAATGCTTCTCCAATTTGAAGTTAAGGGGAAAAAAAACACAAATCTTACAAACTATTTTAATGAGCAAATTGTTACTACCAACATGAGAAAACACTTTAATTATAATGAGATCTTCCTACAAATTACTGAACCTCTCTAGTTTTGAGAAAAATATCTTTGTTTCAAAATATTTGTCCACAGACTTATCTTTCTCTGGTGGGAAAAAATACCACTACTTGCTGTATGCTATTTATAACTTGACTAAGTTAGCTATAGGAGCTGTCTATTCAAAATACACAGGATTTCATTAGTCTTAGCTCCTCAGACCATAACTTTTGTTCTTCAACATTATGGTTTTCCTTCCATTTTCACTTTTCTGTCTTTTAAAATGATGAGTTCTTTCTCTTCCCTGCAATAACTAGCTTTGTTTGGAGGCATTTAATTTGCCCATTGCCCAACAGGTTTTTTCCCATCTTTCCAGTCTCAGTTGCTTGCTTGTTTCTGAATGTCTCGTATTCTCATCTGCCACCTCAGGTTCCTTTTCATTCTATTTTTACATCCATTTCAAAGTCACCTGCCTCCAGGCAGTGTATTTTCTTCCCTATTTATTTTTTCCATTTGCACCATCTGTGTGTGTATGTGTAATACAGGCACTTCATTTACTGAAAGTGATATTATACTCTGTTGACCCCATTACTGCCCTGAAAAGAAGGAATTTGTCTTCCTGTGCTACAGTTTATTTGTTTATCACAGTTCTAGAAGCCACAAGGGAGTTTTTTTAATGTCAAAGTTATAATGATAAACTTGGATAACAACCCCTGATCTGCTCTCGTAGAATCATAGAATCTTAGAATATGCTGAGTTGGAAGGGACCCATCAGGATCGAGTCCAACTCCTGTCCCTGTGTAGGGCACCCCAAGAATCACACCATGTGCCTGAAAGCATCATCCAAATGCTTCTTAAATTCAGGCAGGCTTGGTGCTGTGACCACTTCCCTGGGGAGCTTGTCCCAGTGCTTAGCTGGCCTCTGGGTGAAAAACCTTGTCCTGATATCCAACCTAAACCTCCCCTGACTGAGCTTCCTGCCATTTCCCCAAGTCCTGTCATTGGTCACAGGAGCGAGGAGATCAGGACCTGCCCCATCTCTTCCCCTCATGAGGAAGCCATGGACTGCAATGAGCTCACCCCTCAGCCTCCTCTTCTCCAAGCTGAATAATCCAAGTGACCTCAGCTGCTCCTCATAAGTCAGCCCTTCCAGACCCATCAACATCCTCATGGCTCTCCAATAGCTGGATGTCTTTTATATTGTGGTGCTCAATACAGGCTCCCCAGAGAGGTTGTGGAGTTTCCTCTGGAGACTTTCAAGACCTGTCTGGATGCCTTTCTGAGTGATCTGCCCTAGTTTTTGGTCCTGCTCTGGCAGAGGGTTGGACTTGATGATCTTTGGAGGTCCCTTCCAACCCCTAACGTTCTGTGATTCTGTGAAGACTGCACATAGTACTCAAGTGCTCTCCTTGAGTATTTTTTACACTTGCAACTCCCTACTCATGCAGCTAACTGTCCCATATAGGTGGAAATTGTGTGCCTACCTTAAAGACAAAAAAAAAAAGAAGCCAGAAAAATCACTCAACCTATTTTTTCAAGTAAATGTTCTGTCTTTACTAAAACACATGAAACAGCATTAAAAATAAACTATGGGTAGGTAGGGATTTTTCAACCTGTTGTCAAAAAGACCATTAGAAAAATTTTGTCCTATAGGAAACTAGTTAACATTTGTCTACAGCAGTGCTGTGTGTACTCTCTGGAGAAAAACAGAGCTAAAACACAGATGATCTGGGAGGATGGGAATAAGCCTTTTGTTAAAGAGATGAGGTTTTGAAATTGAACTTCCAAGTTTAACTACTTTTTAAGATTATGTTTTACATAGAAGTAAAATCTCACAACCTCCAGAAAACACTACTTCCTTTAACACAGCTACGTAAGACAATGTTTAGAGTCCCCTCTAGAATGCTGCATGACATTCTGGTCATTCATCTTTAGAAAGTAGGAACTCAAAGAGCAAAATCAGCAATTCAATCTTCAGAATAATCCCTACTTTATAAACTAGTGTTATTCGTCTGAGGAAAGGCTGCATGGGACACAACCTCTGACTCTTGCAAGCAAGTGCTACAGAAAAGTGGCAAATCACAGTGTTGATACAAGAAAAAATTAGGACAAGTTGACCAGAAACATTCCTAGATGCAATCTTCTAAACTGCAGCTTGCCCATCTGTAATGCAACTCTTATAATCATTTTAAGATACAGGTCTACACATTTACAAAAGGGATCAATATGACATGGTTGCCAGTGGTAGCAGGCAAGGAAGCAGTCATTTTCCTCCATTCCTTTGTTCCTACATCTCTGGAATTACAATGCTCACAGCATGTAAGGAGAGGGACTACCTACTCTATAGTACAAGGTTCAAATACACTGCTATTGTTATTGCTCATTAATTAGATTTAATTGCTATAAGGTTCAAGTAGATAATATCAGTAAATATTATTAAATCCTGTGGAGTCACAGGAGAGTTTCTTTAGATCTTACTGTAAACAAAGTGTCAGGAAGTGCCACAACATGGATATGTCGACCTACCTGAATTTGTGGCAGATCTACATGTGGAATGTGCAAAACCATGACAAAACACAGAACATCTGTTCCCTCTCTCTCATATGCCTGTGTGACAATGCTCTTGCCAGTACTCTAATCACCTGTGTGACACTAGGAGCAGTCCTGCTTTTACCAGTAGTTCTGCAGGCAGAGATATAAAAATGTTTCATGATTCTCTTTCAGATGTAACTAATTCAATTTACATATACAAAAGTATTGGGATTGTCACATTTGCTACATGTCAGCTATCACCCTGTCTTTGCAGAATCATACCAGACACTTGCCATTTTCCAATCACCCAACCACTGTACCTACAGGTGGAATGAAGGAAAGTTATTTCATTTATACTTCAGCAGCCACCATCTTCTGCAGGTTGAGTCTTCTACATTTGCATGACCTGTTATCATCAATTAAACTCTATAGGAATGGGCCACATTTACATTCTAATTCTTACCTTCATACCTGCAGGATCTTCTAAGATGTATTTCTATATATTATTAATTTGCTAGATGAGTATAACCTTTATCCTGTTCACCAAGCACAATTACAGATTAACTGGTTGGGTCTGGGTTTTAAAATAGTTTAGGTGACGTTAGCTTAGGCAACTTAAATTATATAGGAAAAGGCAAACATCTTCAAAAGCAAGGTTTCAAGAGAGGAACTGAAAAATGGCCTGAGTTCCTAGTACTAGCATTAAATCTATACTTTATCTCCTTCTGTATCTGAATCTAACCTTGTCTTGCAAATACAGTGAAAGCAGCAGAAATACCTTCTTCAAGGAGAACACCAAAAGCAATGGTAGATAGGAAATTCAGCTGAAAAATTTCTGAATTTACATTAAAGGTTGTTTCAATGTCATACTTCACTGAAGACCAAACACTTGCTGGCATTTCATCTTAACGACTTAAATACAATCCTTTATGCCTCCGGCTCCCTCTTGTGGTATGTGAATGTTGATGTGCCATATAGACCCCACCTTAGAACATCTAATTGCATACCGAAGTCATTCCACCAGCAAACACTACACTAGAGGTGTTGAATGTCCTTCATGACTTCCATCTCTATATTTTGGGCATCATTCTAGGAGAACTTTGTATTGCAATTAAGAATTAGAAACCTTTGATTGTGGCTATCTCTCCCAGGATTTTTCACTGTCCCAAAGTATACTATCTGCCCAGCAATAATGAGTTAGTTTCTTCTTTCTCTTTATTTCATTTGATAGATTATATATATATATGTATATACACACAGTACAATATTTTTCTTTTGTGATAGAGAATAAATGAGATTTTTCATTGCTGGTTGTTCATTAAGTCAACTTATTCCAGTTAATAATGAAAAAAATTAAACATTTAGTATCAAAAGCAATTTCAAGTATCTTCTATACATTTTAGTATTCAGTATATAGTAAGGTGGTTTAGGGGGTTTCTTTTTATATCAAAAGTGTAGTTGAATAGACTATTTTTATCCTAATACTTTAGGGTACTATTTATATCAGGTATGGAGTTTAAAACTATGTATCTTGTGGTCCCACCTATCTCTTCACAAGAACCATAGGTTACTTGTACAATCACAGCATATGTTTCAAAACAGGGTTTAATCATCAGCAAACTCAAGATGCAATTACCATGTTTAGAAATGCATGATTTTGTTCTCCTACAACAGGTCAAGCTATAGTTCTTGATGTGAAGCAATATACAACACCACTCTTTGTAAAACAGTACCTGACCTAGGCATAAATAGTACGGAAGATCCCAGAGCTATTCATCACTTAACCTTTCTGTATAAAAATAAGTCAACTTAGGCATATATTGCACTAATTTTATCATACTGGATAGCTCTCACCCTGCATTATCTGTTCTCTTTGCTTAACTAAGATTACACTAAGGATTTAATTTCCATGGAAAACCTGGGAATAGGTCAACAGACACACGTATGGTGTGCAATAATGGGATACCTATAATATCAATACTCATCTCAGAGGCATTCGCAAAGGAAACTACACGTTTGATTTGGAGATCATTTTCTCCAGTAGATTCATCATTCTTTCCTGTAACTGTAAACTTTGAACTTGAATGATGTTTTGCTGATCCAGAATCCTGCGCACTTCTCTACAGGTTTCTTCCATAGCTCTACTCAACTTCTTTTGTTCTTCCAACATGGCCTCCATTAATTTGAGCTTCTTCTTTTGAAAGCTGCAGCTTTGCATTTTTCTTTTCTTAACTGGTCTTTCTTCAGCTCTGAAATGTGAATATCAGTTAACAATTAAACTTATATTTATACAAAAACACATCTATATTAGAACTTAAAATTCTATACTACATTCTTGGGCAAGCTACAACCTATTTTTAAACCTCCATGTTCTCCAATAAACTCCCTCTCGTGTTCATGACAAAACATAAGTATTTACTATATTATTGCATAGCCTTATAGACTGTAAAGGAAAACAGTTTTTAAATCTCATTGGTTT